AGAATTCAGTAGTTGCTCAGTCTTGTGAGGCTGGATGTGGCAGTTGTCCCAATATGGTGCCGATAGCCTGTAGGAATCCCGAAGAGCTGCTGGCCTTCAGTCTATGTTGGAAGTCAAAAGAAACTGACTCTACCTGGGTGGTGGTGGCACATGCCTTTAATCCCAGCACTCGGGAGGCAGAGCCAGGTGGATCTCTGTGAGTTCAAGACTAGCCTGGTCTGCAGAGTGAAATCCAGGACAGGCACCAAAACTACACAGAGAAACCCTGTCTCGAAAAACCAAAACCAAACCAACACCCCCACCCCCAAAAAAACAAAAAACAAAAACAAAAAACCAGAAGGAAACTGATTCTAATGTCAGCAATGGAATCAGTAGCAGCAGCCACAGAATAGAGGAACTTGCTGGCCAGAAAAGAAGCAAGCTGGTGAAAATCTAAGATTCCTTCTTCCATCTCTTTTGTATCTGGGCTGCCATTTAAGGTACTTCTCACATTAAGGGTAAGTTTTTCCACTTCAAATAATACCAAGAAAATCTCTCACAGGAGTGTCCGGTGGCTTGCCCTTTTCAGCTTATTCCAGACAGATCCAGTCAAGTTGACAAGCAAGATTAACCATCACACTTGGAATTTGATCTTGATCTTGACCTCCACAGAGGAATAGTTTTATTTCTTTGGTTTTTGAAACAGCATCGCTAGGTAGCCTGGGCTGGCCTGGAACTCACAGAAATCCACCTGTCTCTGCCTCCTGAGTGCTGGATTCAAAGGCATGTGCCACCATACCCAGTATCCTTTGATTCTTTTTTTTTTTTTTTTTTTTTTTTTTTACATAACACTGCGACAGTTGGTTTTAGTTGTCAACTTGACAGTCTAGAGTTTCCTAGGGAGAAAGTCTCTGGGATTATTTAGATTAGGTTGGCTGTGGGGGATAATTTTGAGCATGGTAATTGAGGTGGGAAGACTGTGGGTGGTACCATTCCGTAGGCAGGAGATCTTGAACTGTGTAAGAGTGAAGGAGTGGGGCTGGAGAGATTGCTCTGTGGTAGAATACTTGTTGCTCTTGCAGAGGATTCAGGTTCAATGCCCAGCACCTACATAGTGACCCCCAGTCATCTGTTACCTCCAGCTCCAGGGGACCCTGTAGATGAACAGTCTTATTAAATAAGAAACACAGAGCCACATGCAGAGTTAAAAGCCCAAGAGGTCAGAGCAGTAGCTGAGAGCTGAGACTTAAAACCACCTTCTTACCCTTCCTGCCGCTGCCGTCCTTCCCTTCAGCAAAAGACCTACTTCCTGTGTGTCTGTCCTTTTATTGACTTTCTGTTCTGCCTTCTCATTGATTGTAAACCCAACCATATGACCTCCTTGTCACTCCCTGTCTATGTAGACCTCCAGGTCTTCTATGGTTGGTATTGAGATTAAAGGCGTGTGTCTCCATGATGGCTGTATCCTTGAACACATAGAGATCTGTCTGTCATGTGATCTGGATTAAAGGTGTGTACCACCACCACCTGGCTCTTGCTATGGCTTGCTATTAGCTCCGAACCCCAGGCAACTTTATTTATTAACATACAAATAAAATGACATTTCAGTACAAACAAAATATCACCATAGGACCCAACATCCTCTTCTGAGTTCCTGGGCACCATGAATGTACATGGTACCCATATGTGGATGCAAGTAACATTACACATACACAGAATAAAAATAAATAAATCTTAAAAGGAGTGAGGTTTGTCAACCTTTTAGCTGACCTGCGCAGATCATGTCTGTTGGACCTGGGATCTGAGGACCTGAAAGAATGGGCTGGACCACAGTCTAGTGCTGTAGAAAATCTTACTTCAGTTTCAGGGTACTTTTATATACACGAATGAAACAAAGAAACCAATGATCTAAGGAAGGTTGTTTGAGTTCAGAAAAACATGTAAATAAATGTTAGTAAGTACACACTAAATATTAACAGAGAAGTCCTTTCCTAGAATTTTCTCAGGGCAGAGCAGTTGAAACACAATTGCCTGGCATGTACTATCAATTATATCTGAGAAAGCATGAAAGCCAGGCAGAAGGCCAGATCCAGATTCAGAGCCCACTGATCAGATTGGGCTCTATAGTTTTGTGCTGACATCCAACAAGAATAAACGTATCATAAATTAATTGTAAATGTTTGTTGCAGGAGGCGTAGAATCATGTCCAAGAACAATCCAGGGAACCAAGTGTACCTGAGGTCAAAGACCCTCTGTGTTTTTTTCCTGGAGATTCTCTTACAGTTCCCCAAGGCATTGTTCACTACAGGTCATTCTTTTGACTGTGTTCTGACAGAGATTAGCTGGGCACGAATGTATTCATTACATTCTATTCTTGTTTATGGATGTTATATGGCCAACTCCCTCAAGTTCCTGCTGCTGTGACTTTGGTGAGGTATAACCTGGAACTGTGGATCCCAGTATTTTGTCACAGCACCAGGAAACAAAACTAAGACAAGCAATTACCTGTAAACAGACGGTTCTCTCCCTCTTGCCAGTTCCTGAATAACTACTCAGAGGCTTAATATTACTTATAAATGATTGGCCATTAGCTCAGGCTTATTACTAACTAGCTCTTACACTTAAATTAACCCATAATTTTTATCTATGTTTAGCCATGTGGCTTGGTACCTTTTTGCTTCGGGCCGCAGGAATATATCATAAGAACTCAGCTGGTTATGGCAAAGTCACTACCTGGAGGGATCAGGGAATTCCTCCAGAGGAAGCCAAATCCCAAGGAGTTTTTGGTGTTACTTGGCTTGTTATATATCAACTGTATTCTGTTATGAAAATCATGTGTGCCTTCATAGCTTTCCCAATTGACTTTTCCCTAAGAAGGGCTAACAGTGTAGACTGATCACTCTCTGGACATACACATTCCAGGTATTTGGAGAACAGCCTCAGGAAAGGCTTTCTCTGGAATCAGATTATCTCCCTTGGCCACTTTCAAGGACTATAGGAAACACCATCCAGGTGGGCGCCCATTTTTAGTCCCAGGTGGACTAACAATGATAACAGCCCACATGCAAGTCTCCTGACTTACTTCCACAAGGAGACACCGCCTAGGAGAGGTGGACGTTAAGTAATAGCTTTACACAATTTAGCTCGGACCCTCCCTTTATATACTGAGACTTCCAGGAGGCAGAGGAGAAGAGAAAAGAGAATGGAAGAACTAGATGGGTAAGAACTTGAGAGGAATGAACTGAGATGGGTAAGAACTAGATTGAAGGGCTAGAAGAGAGGACTAGAGGAACAAGATGGAAGATGAGGAAGAGCCAGATGGGGAAGAACAAGATGAGGAAGAGCCAGATGAGAGAGAAGGAGACGAGAGAGGAGCTGATAGGGGAAAGAACTAGATAGATGAGAACCTAGAAGGGACAGAACTAGATGAAGGAATAAAGATAGAACCTAGAGGGGACAGTAGATAAATATAGAGAGAAATCAGGCAAGAAAGGAGCTAGACATGAGAACAGAACTGAAGCTGTGTATAAAGGATGTTATGCCAGAGGAATTAAAGCAAGTGGACGATAGAGCTCTGTGTGCTGAGATTCTATTTCCTGATAATAGTCCTCGCCGTTAGTAGTTCTCTCTCCTGAGCCCCTGGGATGTATAATATTAAGGCTGGTTCCTCTAATATTATACAAGACCTTTTCTCAGCACAGCATTCTCATCTTGCTTCCTCTGTGTCTGGCTGGCGACTCCTGACTCTACCCTTTTCCTTCCCATCATCCTTAGTTTGGTTATCCCACCTATACTTCCTGCCTGGCTATTGGCATTTTATTAAACCAATTTGAGTGACAAATCTTTACAGTGTACAAGAGGATTATTCTACAGCAATTACCATTTTGGTATGCAATCTCTTACCTGTATATGTAAATAAGTCTGCCTTGTGTTTTTACATTATAACACGTTTATTAGTGTGTTTTTGCATCTGAAATAGGAGGTTCCCTGGTAAGGTTCATTACTGCCATCTCACTCTCTCCACGTGCAAGGCCTCACAGCCCCAAGGCCTCAAGAGTACCCTTGCAGAGAACTTTGGTGGCTTAGAAGGTGAGGCTACCTGGAAACTGTAATTCGAACTGTCCTGATACAGTGACGTCATCAGGACATGAGATGAAGCACGATGCCTCCCAACTACAGTGTGTGTGTCGAGCTTAGATAAAAACATACCTGTCTGCTTTTGTAAATGTTTTAATGTTTATTAGAATTTAATACTCATATAAGCTTAAGATTTTTGTGGGTCTTACTGCCTGGGAACTCTTAAGAAAAAATAAGAAGCATGTTGGTTTAAAGAAAATAATATAAAGTGGTAGTATAGGTGCTGTGTGCTGAGTTGAGACCCTAAAGTTCACAGTTTTAATTCTTAATGCCTTGTATCCAGAATGTGACTCATCTGAATGTAAGGCTGGATAAAAACGAGGTCATTATAGTGGACATTTGACTCTTTGGGACCAGTGTCTTCTAAGAAGAGTTGACCAGCACACAGACACATTTAGAGGGAGGCTCTGTAGAGACATGGAAAGAAGATGGAGGCAACGAGAGAGGCCTCAAGCAAGAAGAGCCCCGGGGACACCTTGATCACAAACTTGGAGGCTACAAGACTGCAGGACAGTAATTTTGCCATTGAAGCCACAGATGCTGGCATTGTATTATGGCGGTCCCACCAGACCAACACATCAGGGAAGTACAGAGGTGAAGAAGGTTGAGGTGATACCCAAGTGATGGGCAAAGACCTGGGCTTCTCCCATCTCTCATCCCTTCCAGTTTCTAGATGCTAGGAATTGGAGTCCTGGCCTCCTTGCTATACAGAGGACTGGCCACTAAGGTCTGTGTCAGTGCACCTGGGGGGCAACTGTAGTCCTGAGGGTGGATGGTTGCCGACGCTTTCCCGCCGGCTCAGACCTTTGAGAACCACAGGGTAGGCGTGCTTCCCATGTAAAGTGTGGAGAAATGGAACCTTCCGATTGGAGCACTTACATCCACCACAGGAGGCGAGAAGTCAGTCCGGCTCTCAGAGCTCACAGGCTATGCTCCGCCCTCAATTGCTGCACAGGCTCCTGCGAAGACCAGCAGCTTGGAGGATGCTCCTCCCTTCTTCCCTCCGGCTCTCCTAGAACGCTGGTTCCCCAGGAAGGGGAGGAGTTCTTCCTGGCGCGGAGGCCACCGTCGCCACGGCAACGCCGCTTTACTGGGCCCAACGGATTAGGCGGCCTGGGGCTGCAGGCGGCCGCGTGGCCTCGGGGTCAGCGCCAGCAGCATGGACAGCCTGTACGTGGAGGAGGTGGCCGCCTCCCTGGTCAGGGAGTTTCTTAGCAGAAAGGTAATGGCTGGACACTCCAAAGCCCAGGAGGCCGCTCTAAAGTTGGGGGGCAGCCTGGGGTTTCCGTCAGGATCTTTGCACCTTCCGGGATGGGGGAGCATTCCACCCCTTGTGTTAGCCTCAGAGATTCCCCCTAAGAGCGCCCCTTTCTTGAGACAGGGAAACTACATTTCCCAGAAGCCAGTCCTTCCTAGTCCGAGGGTACTTCCACAGAGCCAGGCCGGCCCTTGGTCTGCTGCCCTCCCCTGGCACCAGTGGTCATGGCGGTGCCAGGTTGGCAAAGGTGTCCAGGGCAGAGCACGTTCTCCCAGCCTGGGGCACAGGACATGTCTCTAGGAAAGAACTTCCCCAAAGGAAAGTTCTGGACAGTCAGTTCTTTTGGTCATTTTAATCAAAAGTGGAAATTCCAGATCATGCATGAACTTTTGTAGAAGATTTATGTGAATTCTCTCTTATTGTCTCATCCCAGAAGAGTTTTCAAAATGTTTGTAAGTTAGGAGCATCTTGGGCACCCCATGGAGTCTAGGAGAGGAGGGTGCTTCATGGGGGCCAGGAGGTGGGCATTGGTTTGTATTTTACATGGAGTGGCTGAGGGCTATGCTCTAAGGGATCTGTGCTTCCACGTGATGTCATATTCAGCTGGTCCAAGGGTCACTTATTTGAGATGGAAACACACACACACACACACACACACACACACGGAACAAAGGGGAAGGATTTGAGGTCAGATAGTGGAAGTTTAGATATATGTTACTAGTTTGCAATGTACATTCAACATTACTACGTCATTTCTATAAACAGGAACTTTGAAATTCCACTCATGTGTAATGCATAGTGAGGATTAGTGATTATATCTGATACTTACGTACAACATGCACATAGCTAATCAACTTTATACTTGCTTCCCCAGCTCCGATTGAGCCTGTTTTCAAATGCTTGTGTGCTTTTTTTATGATTTATGTTTATTTTGAAAAATTATGATGCATCTGGCTTCGCTGTGTCTACCTTGACCTTCTCTTACGGAGTCTTGGGTTAAAGTTGGATTATCGGTGACATGTGCTCAGAGGCTGGTGGCTGAGTCTGGCACTAGATGTGGAAGCGTCAGAGAAGCCTTCATTTCTTGAGTGCAATCCATAGCCCTCCCTGACATCCCGGGTCCCATGATCAGAATTTGATCAGGATTGGTCCTGGGCTCACCTTGACTGTTTGCTCATTGATGCTTCCATTACAGCTGTCACACCTGCTTGTCTCACCTCGACAGGGCCAACACGCTGACCTCCCAACTGGGTACCACCTCAGAAACCATCTACCTACCTGACCTCCTCTTCCTCCCCTTGTTTTATCTAAAAGTATAAGAGAGGTATCTTTATTTACTAAATGTGATGGATAGTTTTATGCCAACTTGACATAAGCTAAAGTTATCTGAGAGGAGGCAACCTCAGTTAAGAAAATGCCTCTATGAGATCAGGCTGTATGCAAGCCTATAGGGCATTTTCTTAATTAATGGTTGATGAGGGAGGGCCCAGCCCATTATGGGTAGGGCCATCCCTGGGCTGGTGGTCCTGGGTTCTATAAGAAAGCAGTTGAGCAAGCCGCGCAGAACAAACCGGTAAGCAGCATCCTTCCGTGATGTCTGCATGGAAACTCCTGCCTCCATGTTCTTGCCCTGTTTGAGTTCCTGTCCCATCTTCTATCAATGATGAACAGTGAATGGAAGTGTAAGCCAAATACCCCCTCCCCCCAAATTGCTTTGGTCTTGGTGTTTCATCACAGCAATAGAAGTCCAAACTAAGATACTCATAAAATCACAGAGAGCCAGAACTCTGGGCTAGGGCAATTGCTTGTGTTTGTGGTGTTGGTGGTTGGGGTGGTTTTGAGACAGGGTCATGTTTATATTGCCCAGGTTCTCTTCAAGCTCTCTCTGTAGCCCAGGCTGTCTTTAAACTCTCTATGTAGCTCCGGCTATATTCATACTCTTGAGTATCCTGCTTTTGACTCCTGTATTTGGAATTACGAGTTGCGCATCACCACGTCCAGTTGTAATTCCTTTTCCTATTGCTTCTGATTTGGGGGCTGCTTCTGAGCCTGCCTCCTCCTTCACTCAGCCTTCTTTTCCCCAACCACTGAGTGAGGTTTTTGTTTTCCAGCATTTGGAGCCATTATAATGTTTTGAGCACAAAGACTGAAGGAATAGTTGACGCCTACCTAGTCTGGGATCCATCAGGAGCAAAGGATATCCCTGGCCCTGCAGGAAGGGGTTGAGACATCTTCTGCAGGCATTGGGTGGTCATAGTGTCCTGTGATGGGAGGAAGTAGCTCTTGTGGCTGTTTTCCAATGAGGATGCCAAGCTCCTGGGGGCAGGGGGCAGGATTCTCCCAGTTTACTGTCTGTCACTAGACCTTGGTCTCTGTGTGTTTAGGGTGGGTGATAGGTAGTGAGTGGTTTGCTGGTGACTTGGCAGACATTCATGAGGTGCCCTGCAGGAGACTGGGTGCCAGTCAGGCTTCCTGGCTAGACTGATGTGGATCATGTGACTTCAAACATGTCTCCTGGCTTCCTCTGCTGAAAAGTTAAGAGAACAATTGTTGGCCTTTTGACTGTGTTTTTTTTTTTCCCCTCTAAACTTCCGTTTATTTTGAAAGGTTCGTCTTTCATGGCCCCACGTCTAGGCCACTCACATAGCTCCGGAGCTGACTCTCAGCAAGCTGGTTACCTGGATCTCATTGTTATTTATAAAGTGAGTCCACAACCCCAGCCGCAGCTGACCCCAAACCAAACTGGCCAAGCCATCAAGGCCAGTGGTTTCATGAGAACGAATTCTGAAGTCAGCCTTGGGCCCCTGCTGTGGTCTTGCAAGGATGAGCCCAGTCCTAATGAGTCCCAGCAGTTTTCTTGTTTACCGTGCGTCAGAGAAAGGAAGGTTTTCATTTCAAGTGGCCACCAGTGACTCAGACTTCTCCCCTCAGGGTTTGAAGAAGACATCTGTGACCATGGACCAGGAGCGCCCCCGCTGTGAGCTCAGCATCAACAGCAGAAATGATCTCCGCAAAGTTCTTCATCTGGAGTTTCTCTACAGGGAGAACAAGGTGAGTGCCTTGTGAGATGGTGTCCTTGCACCCAGGGCCTGGCAGCTGCGGCAGGAGTTTTGGGGACTGGCCAAGATGACAACTCTCAGAGTGAACTAGGTTCACCCCACCAGACCTGAGTGTCCCTGGGTGGGTCTGAGGGCACTTTGTCTTACTGAGTCAGGGCCTGCCATGCCTGTTCTTTGATCATTGTTCTCGGTGCTTCCCTTTCCCCACACACAGTGGCATTTTTAGCAAGACTGCTTAAGGATATATTATGCAATACAATTATATATGTATATATATATATATATATATTTTTAATAAGATTTCCCTTCTGTGGTTGTAAATCTCTTGTGACATGTAGGTCGGCAGAGGTGGAAGCTAGGTTTAGCACACCCAGGTGTATGGGAGTTGAGAAAGCCAAGGGAATATGTTTTCTTGAGGTATAGAAGGCCCCCTAGTCCCAGACCCCTATCCCACCTGCTACCGTCATGCTGCCCTGGAGGTTTCTTCCGTGACCTGTATTTGAAGTAGAACATTTTGTTTCAGTAGGGTCTGCCTGCCTCATGCCCATGGAGTTACTCGATGGGCAGAGACTGTGTGTCTTTTTCACATTGTGTCCCCATATTTGATGAATTGTCTTATGACTTATTGAAGAATCTGTATGTGTCTGTGTAGTAAATGAGTGAGAGTCTAGAAGAGTCAAAACATGAATGTAAAAAGCTATAATCCTGACTTAATTTCTCTTTCTGTTAGAAGAAAGAGTCCTTTCCAGCAAATGTTGCATCATGCTTGGGCATGATATAAGAGTTAGAGAAAAACTAGTGAGTTATGAAGAGTCATATAATTCTGCATTTGTTATACTTTAAAATGCAAGGCTATAAGTGACGTCTCATGCAGAAGTCTGACATGTGAGACGTAAGGGAAGCCATGCTTTGGTGAGTAAAGTGAGGACATCCTGCCTTGGCCTTCTGGGCCAGCTTCTCTGGGCACAGTACGGAAGCTCTGAACTCATTGGTATGTTGGGAATTTGCCCTCTGGGGAGTGCTGTGACCCAAAGTGGCTATTTGACATCTGACAGTCATTTATGGACTAGGGTAGAGATCCTTTTTCTTTTTTTTTGTTTCTTGAGACACAGTCTTATTCTGTAGCCAAGGCTGGGCCAAAACTCTCTACGTAGCTCAGGCTAACCTTAAACCTTGGGCAATTCTGCTTCAGCCTTCTGAGTATTGGAATTACAAGTGCTACCGGGCCCAGCATTGGGCTAGAGGTTGATTTTCAAAAGAAGACTTGGGTGTGGGGAGATGGTTTGGTGGTCAGAGTCTGAGTCTCCAGCAACCACATAAAAAGCCGTGCATTCCTCTTACACCAGCACTAGGGGCAGAGACAGGCAGATCCTAGGAATTTGCTGGCCAGCCAGCCTCCTGTGCAGTGAGACACCTTGTCTCAAGGCAATAAGGCAGACAATGACAAAGGATGGCACCTGACATCCCCCTCTGACTTCCACATGCCTGTGAACTGCTGTGCACACCTGCACACTTACGTGTATGTACTACACACATACACATACACACACACACACACACACACACATCACCCCCGCCCACACATAAAAATAAATAAAATGAAATGAAATCCTAACTGATCGAATGGGTATGTAGGAATGAAAACAAGACTATTTGGAATATGCAGAAAAATCTCCCTGTTTCTTGACAACTAACCCACTGTTTAGGGTGTGGCAAAGACGACCTTGGGTCAGGCTGCCCTGTGTAAGTGCAAGGTGGTATTCCAGGCAGGTGTGCAGACCCAACCACTGGCCCTCAGTTTATAGCAACTCTGCCTGCAGGAGCCCTTGTGATCCCTTTGAGGAGGTTAGGCCCTGACAGCCAAGTGAGGTCAACCCCAGGCTGAGCTCCTCTTGTTCTCCATACATGCATGTGTGCAGTCCTGGGTCAGGGATGCATTGACTTAGCATCCTGTGCCCTTCAGTTATTGGATTTGGAAGTAAGGTCATGGGATGTTCATGTTAGGGAGATATTTCACAGGGACTAGGACCTTTACCCAGAAATCCAAAGACCCATACTGGTCCCCTGACACATTCACCTAATTTCTTAGGAGTATCTTTTTGTTTGTTTGTTTGTTTGTTTTGTTTTTTTGAGACAGGGTTTCTCTGTGTAGGTTTGTGCCTTTTCTGGAACTCACTTGGTAGCCCAGGCTGGCCTCAAACTCCCAGAGATCTGCCCAGCTCTGCCTCCCGAGTGCTGGGATTAAAGGCGTGCACCACCACCGCCCGACAGGAGTATCTTGTTATTTAAGTTATTTTTATTTTTCCACCACACCATTGTCTCTCTAAAGTAGCTATTATCTTCAAAACTTAAGGTATCATCAGACCTGGGTAAATCCCTGATTATTTGACATAAACAGTTGTTTTTAGCCATGATAGAATGAATTGGAGCCTATGGTTTAAAGAAAAACATACTTACTAGTCATCTGTTGCAAGTAGTTTTGAGGTTTGCTGAGCCCAGAGCTCACCTGACCCCAGAGAAGCTCTACAGCTCGGTATGAATACTCCCATTGCCTTGTTTTTCCTGACAGTTAAGTGATAGATTAGAAAACCTACAGAAGACTGGGGTTTAGGGAAATGGTATTAGCTTCACTTCAAGGCTGTGTGTTCACTGTGAACTTAGTGCTATAAAAACTCACAAAAGTGTAATGTGGGCAGTCCAGGACCCGAGGGCACCTCACTGAGAGAAAAGGCAAAACCTTTGAAATATATTGCATGTTTTCTTCAACTCGCTTCATTGGAATCTTAATTTAGACCAAGACAAAGTAAATGTTTTGGTCTTATAAAAACCAAGTAAATAAACTTTATATCTGACTTTAATTATCTGATAAGGCTGTTGAACTCAGTGTTGTCCACTGGTCATGGATCCTGGCCAGAGAGGAGGAGGGGAGGGACGTGGCCTGTGCTGAGGGCTCCACACCAGGCCCTTCATTGGACACTTGGCTGCTTGACTTGGCATCCGCCTCATGAAAGCCCATGTCTGGCCACAGCTCAGCAGGACCGAGTGCTCCCAGCTCCCAGCTCCCAGCTCTTGGGGTGGAACTGATTCATGGCCAGATTCCTAAGTCAGACTGTGGATCGCTGCTTGGACAACTAGGTGTCTGTTCAGATTATTTTGGGGGGAGGGGTTCACGAGAAATCAAAGCTCTAATTCTTGCTGTTTGAGTTTAGTAAGTCTCAGTTGGTCATGTATTAAAAAAAAAAAAAAAAACCCAAAGAAATCCAAAAACTTCTGAAGAAAATATGCATGCAGGCAAGGCTGGAAAACACTGATATTTATTCTAAAAATTATTGCTTGAAGAGTTTCTTTACATACGTTTTTTATTTTAAATCGTTGTGGTATGACCTGAGTCAGCCCCAGATGACTTTTTTCTTTTCATTTTAACCTCTTTTTTCAGGTTCTGCAGTCACTAGTGGTAAATGTTATTTACCTTTGTCTTTGCTATGACAAAATACCTAACAGAAACAACTTAGAGGATGGAAGTTTATCTGGGATCATGGTTTTAGATATTTTGGTCCATCCTGATGGGTGGCTAGAATGTGAGTGGGTTATAACATGATGTAGGCCAGAAACAAAGAACATGAAGCCGGAGTCAGAGGCAGATATGACCTTCAAAATCCTACCCCTTATTATCTATTTCTGCCAGCCAGTCCCCATCTCCTAAAGGTCCCACAGACTTCCAAATAGTGCCACAAGCTGGTGACCAAGTACTCAGAACATGAGCCTGTGGGGGATATCCCAGAACACTCACTAATAAATGTTCAAGTCTGCTGTTGGTTTTTTTTTTTTTTAAATTCTAGCCCCATGTTGGGCACCAAAATGTTGTTTTTGGTATTTTACTCTTTTGTGGGGCCCACCAACCAACTCCTAAATAAATCATTCATGGAGGCTTATTCTTAATTATGAAAGCCTGGCCTTAGCTTAGCTTATTTTCTTGCCAACTTTCTTAACTTAAATTGTCTCGTCTCCCTTTTGCCTTTGGGCTTTCCCTGTTCTCTTACCTGTGAATCTTATTCTTACTCCATGGCTTGATGTGTAGCTGGGTGGCTGGCCCCGGAGCCCTCCTCCTTCTCTGGATGTTCTTGATCTCCCTCTCCTCCCAGATTTCTCCTATATATTCTCTTTGTCTGCCAGCCTCACCTATCCTTTCTCCTGCCTTGCTATTGGCCATTCAGTTCTTCATTAGGCCATCAGGTGTTTTACACAGGCACAGTAACACAGCTTCACAGAGTTAAACAAATGCAACATAAACAAAGGGAACACACCGTAAAACAGTCTGCACAGGCCTCACCTGCTTCTTGGCTCCATAGAGGCCAGAGAGATGGTGGAAGGAGAGAGCTAACTACTCTAAGTGGTCTTCTGATTGCCACACACTTGCAGTGGCACCCCCACCCTAGAAATGAAGTGTAATACAAAATCAAAACTGTATTTTTAAATGAAAAGATCTGTCTCTTCTAGTTGATTCCATAGGGAAAGAATGCAAAAGGAGATTAGCTTTGGACAGCCCTCTATTCACATCACAGTGCACAAGATGCTAGTTTTTCTGGAGTAGAGATGTCGTCTCTGTCTCTAAATCCCTACCCAGTACAGTGCCTGGCACACAGAATAAGGAAGTGTGTCGTGTGATGGAAAAGCTGGTAAACGTATGTCAAAGAATTGGGATGGTTGTCCTTCCACTCTTCTCCTAACTCTGTATATTCAGTTAATGATATTTTTTCCCTCCCCAATGATAGGCAAAGGAAAAGCCTCTAAAAACAAACCTTGAGCTCATAACCAGATACTTTCTGCACCATTCTGGGAACACAGACAACTTAAGTCAAGAAGCCCCGATCCCTGGACTCCCAGTTGCAAAGAAAAATAATAAACTGCCGTCAAGATGTTCAGAGACCACACTGGTGAATATATATGATCTTTCAGATGAAGACACAGGAAGACGAATATCATGGTCAGAAGCCGGCAAAGCCAGGTATGTGCCTCCTCCTCCTCCTCCTCCTCCTCCTCCTCCTCCTCACCCTGCCTAGCAGCTTGTTTTGCTGCTGTAACAAATCACAGTGACTTGTTGATGCCAGGAAACAGAACCACATCCACCTTCTTTAAAGTCAGCTGGGTCTAAGTGCCAGTCACGTTTACAAACTACCTTCCCAGAAACACCCAGCCTGTTCTTAGGTTCAGCGCCTGTGTATTCATGTTGACCCCCTTTGTTCTCCTTAGCCCATGGGATGGTCCTGCTCACATCAGGGTGGGTCTTCTCCTATTCAGTTAAACCTTGCTGGAAATGCTCTCACAGGTGCACCCAGAGGTGTGTCTCACCAATCTCCTAGGCAATTCTAAGTCCGGTCATGTTGACAATGAGGATTAACCATCACAGATCTCATAGTTAGGGTTTCAGGGATCTGGACATGTATGTCTTTGGGTATCACTGTTGAGTTTACCACACTGTATGTTTCAAATTCTCTGTCACAGAGCCATGTTATTTTCTTTAAAAGGCCAGGAGAGTGGACCCTTTTATGATGGTATTTACTTACATTTCAAAAGGTTGACTTTATATCCCATGATTCCTAAGGTTCAGGGACTTGCTTTGATTTTCTTTGAAACAGGTACATGATATTCATAACTGAGCCTCCATTATTTGGAAAGTAGTTCCACCGGTTTGCAGCTATCCTATGGCACACGTGCTCTTCAGTGGTGTGCGTGACTCACGCGGTCACATACTGTATGAAGTCACCAGTAGTGGGGATAGCTTCTGGGGAATGGGTCTTTTCTTCCACTCGGCAGAAAAGCATTTCTTCCTGAGGGTTGGAAAAGTTCAGTGCATGAACGTCAAGTCAAGAAAGCGTGAGGCCACTATAGAGAAGTAACCTGAGGCTTTAAACATGAAAGATCAGGAGGCGGTATAAGGTGGCCCCTTTTACAAAGGCATTTGCTGCCTGTTTGGGAAAGTCAGTATTTCTGAGATCAAACCAAACAATGAGGTAGTTGAAACCTTCAGGTCCTGGCCCTACCATTTCCCCAAGCCTGGTGCACCTTGGTACCCTTTATACTTCCTTGACTCTTTTCCTCCTCCTCCCCTCCTCCTCCTCCTCCTCCTCCTCCTCCTCCTCCTCCTTTTCAGCTCTTGGTTCCCAGTGATGCTAAAAGCTGCTGCTCTTCCTGACATGATGACAAAGGCCTCTGTTCATATGTCCATCTTTTTTCCCTGTGTAACTCTCATGAGTGCTGTCCTGGACTCCATGCAGAGGTCAACAAATCCACAGATTCCACCCTGACCTGGACAGGGCAAGCCTTCCACAGTCCACATTGGGACAGACCACTCCTTCCTTGGAGGTCACGAGGCACTCCCTGTAGCTTTTAGGAGAAACCCCAAGTACCTTAGGATAACTTTGTAAATCTCTACCAGCCCAGTGCTCACTGTTCACCTGAGCTAGTTCCCTCCCAGGCCTGTGTGCTGGGGCTTCAGGAATTCTCCAGGTGGTCTCTCCAGATCACCCCAGCCTTCCTTGGCTTTGTCCTCTGCCTGACATTCCCCGATAATGGCACAAGCGACTGCTGCTTTCATGTGTGACCCAAGGCTTGCGGGGAGGTGTGACACAGTGTAGATATCAGTATCATGTATACCAGGGACCAGGGGAAGAAATCTGGGATCAGTGGAGTGCAGGCCTCTGAGCAGCCCAGACAAAGCTCCTCTTTACCTCAGTCCTGTTCTTTCTCACTTCTTGCTTTTTTTTTTCTTTTGAGATTCAAGGTCTGTTTACTCTTAAAGACTTACTTTTGACTGGACTCAGACTTAAGTAGAAGTGCTCAGTGAGGCCAGCCTACGTCTCTTGGCGATCTGTCCCAGCCTTATCTCTGGCTTTCTTCATTTTCTTGGCCACAAGTTTAGCATATTCTGTCACCTCCTCATTTTTCTTAGTGTGTTGTTTCTTTAGAGCAATGCATTGGCATCTGTGTTGCAGGACATGTGGAGTAACTGCAGCTGTGTTGCATGTGGAGTCCTGAATCTTAGGTGCTTTGGTCCTGGGCTTCTTACTTTGTTTAACATTATTATTGTACGTGATGCCCACCATATTGTAGGACATCATCTTCTTTAAAGAGATTGAAAAGCTTTAGGATTCTGCTAGCTCTTAGGGGCCCCGACTGCTGAGACACAGTAGAATATGTCAGTCAGTCTAGGAATCATCATCACCATCTTCCTCCTCCTCTTCTTCTTTTTCAATAGCCAAGTTGAGAGCACTCAGATTGGCATCAACATGTGTCCCTGAACAGACTTAAGCTCCCTCTCTCTGGTTCTTGGTCTATAACAAGAATGCCTTTTCTCAACAGCTGGTGCAGTCTGCCTTGGGTCAAGGCACCTTGCTTCATGGGAAAACCTTGTTTGTCATTCCCACTAATTAGGATGACATAACACTCCTATTCTTTACCCAGGGCATTAGCAGCAGTGAGTGTGTGGCCATGTGCTTCTCATCGAAAACATGGCGTTTGTCTTCATTTACTTCAGTGAGTTTCTGACAGCCAGTGGTTGGGAAGTGGATACTCCGTTTCATCTAGACATGGCCAACCGTCTAGGCGGCACCACCAAAAGAGAGTACTTCGATCCTTTTTATTGTTTCTCACTTTTTTCTTTTGCTTCCGTTCCCTCCCCTCCTGCCTTGCACGCACACAACTGCATGTCTACACACGTTTTCAGCTTTACTGAACACCTGGAAATGTCAAAGTTGTCCTAGGTGTGTTCTCTGTACAGCAAGGCCGCATGCACTGCAGGTTCCATCCTTTATTGTTTGAGTCTGCAAGAACCAAGATGCTCTTCAGCCTTCAGCCATTAGGACTTAGGATCCCTTGTGGATCATCATCTCCGACTTTGCTTGTACACTGCTGCACTTGCCCTGATACTGAAGAAGTGCTTCCTATTCCTTACCTCTGCTGACAGACCCTTGGCTCATTTCCAATTGTATATTTATAAATCATGGCTGACTTTGGGGTTTATTATTATCATTCATTTGGAGGCTCTGTTTTAATGGAAATACTGTGTTTTTGCAGGCATGACAATCTTGATGGGGATATGCTCGGTAATTTCATGTCATCCAAAAAAAGCCCACAGAAAAGTAAGCCTGCGCACATGGTCCTGGGTGACAGCCTCCCTGTGGTTCCTGCGTGGGAGAAGGTGGAGCATCTTCATTCATCAGAGCCTTGCACAGATGTGAAGAGGCCAGTGGAGAGGACCAGGCCAAAGTCTGGCCTGATTTTCCGAGGCATGATGGCCGGGCCCGTCGCCAGCTCCCCGCAGGTGAGACCGCCAGTCTTTCTGTTTTCTGTAGACTAGGGAGCGAGAGTTGAGCTTCAGGCACGTCTGGCTGAGAAAGGCGTGCCTGTGGGGACAGGAAGCAAGCCTGTCTGTTTTCTCTTTAGCTCCGCTTTCAATGACCCCGTGGATCCCCAGTGGGCTTCCCTGCCTCCCTGCCCTTAGTTTATCTACCTGAGTTAGTAAAATGGATGCTCTGATTTCATCCTCTTACTGCGAGTGAAGACACACATTCCTGGCTTTGTCTTTGCAGTTCTAGAGTAGGATAACTCCCTTAGTCTATAGAATATCGTTGCTTACCACCATCGTGGTTAAAGGGGAGTAGAAATCCTGGTCCTAAAGCTATCGTTTATTTTGTTCCATTTTCTTTTTTCTTTCAAATTGTAATAATTTCACTCATTGCTTGCTGGTTTCCTTTTAAGAGGGATCATGATTTGGTCTCATTAGGTGGAAGGGTCCGAATGAGAGGACAGTGTGAAGAAGTTTTCAAAACAACAAATGGAAAATAGCAGCGTCACACCCTGTATTAGTAACGTGAGGGGGCTGGGCAGACCTACACTGGTTGTCTGTGGAATGCTGCCTCTCCTGTCACGTAGCTGTGTG